AAATATGATTGGCAGAAAAACACTTTTGGGCTTAAAGTTAAGGGGCATAATGAGTGCGTAGTATAAATATCTAAATTTAAATAAACTGTTGCACTTAAATGAAATGAAGCTGATTCCGAAGCATTAGTAGGAGCTCGGCGGCAATTAAATGGGGTTTTAACGGATCCGTCTCTCCTCTTTCTGTCTGAATAAGTATAAAAATATGCGCTGGCTGCGCTATATATATATCTCGTTGTTCTTTTCCTATTGGCATACTTTAGATAGTTTCTACATGCCAGACTTTGGTATTGCAATCCTGACCAGTGGAGATCACAGTATTATTGTCCAGCCACACGAGGCGCGTAATTTGCGATTGTGGATGAGCATCTAAATAGAAGAGAACAATGTTATTTTATATTTAGTTCAAAAGTTAAGTTTTACTCACTCTTGATGATGGTGTGTTTGGCTGGATTGGTCACAGACCAAATAATAATTGTAGTATCGAGCGAGCCGCTGGCTACTAGCAGCGAATTGGGTGACCAGGCCACAGTGTTGACGCGCGCATTATGGAAGCCCCATTCCTTGTTGTGAGCCAGCTTGAATAACAAATTAAAATAGATAAGATAAGATGCAAATCGTAATATATTTAGGATATTCATTATAGATAGCAGCCTCTCACCTTGTATTCTTCCACCGAATAGAGGACCACCTTACGGTGAGCATCACAGGCAACCAAATACTTTTGATCCGGCGAATAGGCGACGTCGGTGACAGCGCCCAGATGGTCCAGTTCCGTCTTCAGCTCCAAAGTGCCGTCTTTGAGTGAATAGATATGCAGCTTTTGATCATCACCACCGACAGCCACATCCAAAGTATCAGCATTGGCTGCAATAGAGCTAGCTTCGTATTTGATGGGCAGCGAGAATATCTTCTTTTGACCCTGCACCAAAGTAAGCTCCTTAATGCAAGCCAAGGCAATGATATTCTCACTCCGTAAGATGGCCAAGCCACGTGGCTGGCAATTGAGCTTGACTACGTAGTCCGTGTAGCTGTTGCCCTCGACACTGAACTGCCTTAGACTATCGTCAATTCCGCATGTGTAGACAAATTCATCCCAGGCGGCAATGCCATTTATCTGATTGCCATGACCAGTACCGGTGATGCGATCGTTGACGCCGTTGCCGGAATTCCAGTTGGTCACAATTCCGTCGTGGCTGCCGGTGTAAATAGTGCTGCGGTCATCGCTCAAGCCCAGGACTGTAATTGGTTTATTGTGACCCTTGACCACCCGCAGTGGTTTGCTGGGATCCTCCACATTCAAGTAAGTAATGACTCCAGACAGGGAGACGGTTAGCAAATGCTCCCCTTGCCACAGGCACGACACCTGCTGATCATCCACGGTGCTACCCATAACAAACTCGCTGATCAGCTCCCGGGACTCAACCTGCCAGAGACGGCAGGTCTTATCACCCGAGCAGGTAAGTAGCTGCGTGCCATCTGGCTTCCAGGCGACCGCATAAACGCCACCCTTGTGTGCTGGCGAACCAAATTCGCCCAACAGTTCCGAGCTGGTTCCATCATACAAAAACACCTTGCCATCAAAGCCAGCCGAGGCAAAGTATTTACCATCAGGCGAGTAGCGCACAGCCTGCACGAAACGCGAATGCTCCTGTTTTGTCATTTTAAACTTGAACGGAGGTCCCTCAAAAACGCCGATCGTGTTGTCTTCACTGCCTGGAATTTCATGTATTAGATACCAAACTATTTATAGAATATATCATTACGTACCAGTCACAATGCGAAATGGTCTGGCTGGCCTGAAGTCCGCCGAGTTGATGGGCTTGGACTGGCCACTGATTTCACCCACTGATGTGCCCGTTTCGGACATAAAGACGTGACCAAAACGCTCGCGCCCCTCGCCGACAGCGACAATGCGTTGATTGTCGGGCGACCAACTGATGTCCTTAATAGGTCCGGCAATCGGCTGGAATTCATTCTTCAGCAAATGTTCCTTGTTAACGGTATCCCAAATACGAATCTTGCCTGAGGCATCTGTATGATAACAAAGAAAAGTGTTATTAAGTTGAAATATTTTTATGAAAAATATCTTATATTTATGATGTGCAAGCGAGCACGTTTATTTTACTACATTCCTTGTTGTATATATATTGCTTTAGATAAGAGGGTGAATTCTACAAAAGATAACATCAATACAAAAGCTAGATAGCATGGTAGAAAGGTATGCCTACATATAGCTCTTACGGTCGATCAAGATTGGAAATATGGGATATTATTCTATGCAATTTTTTTTATTAAGTTTTCATTCGCCTTGAAAGTGATAAGATAATCGCCCATGCCCATATGGTAATGGAGTATTGACAGCTGACGTGAGTCATGGACATGATTGTGGTGCTTGTGATTTTTAGGGCTTCTTTACAGCTGGTTGCATTGTTTAACTTACCGCCGGATGCAATGTAGAAGCCGCTGGGCGAATACTTGGCCACATTCACTGCACACGAGTGTTCCGTGTAGACATCTGCAATCGCTGGATTCTAGGCAGGCGATGATGGTAATCGGAGCGTGACGAGGCAAATCAAGAAAAGCGCACAAATAACAAAATTCAAAAAATTAATAATATTTACAAGCAATTTTGTTGTGGACAGCGGCAGCCGCAGCAGCAGCGGCGACATCATAATTATGTTGTGCGGGCAGTAAGATAGAGGGAGAGAGAGAGAGTGAGAGAGAAATTTCTGTGTGTGTGTGTGTTTGTTTTTGTGAAGAAAAAGCCGCGCCGGCTGCGGCAATATATACAATGTATATACACATACTTATGTACAAATGTGCGGTAAATAAATATAGAACAGCCAGCACACACACACACATAGATAGAATGATCGCTGTCAAGTGGAAAATAACGCTTGAAAATTGCAGCTGCCGCCGTGCGCAGTCCAAAAATAAAACATTATACGCTTTTTGGAGCAGACGTCTCATATTTTGTGTTATTATTATAGCCCAAATTTGTGCAGATATCAAATGAACTTACCTCAATATTTCTGATTATCACCGAGTTGCCATTGGTATAGAGAAAGTTCTTGCCCTTGGGATCTGCACCCAAAACAATGGGCTGGCCACGTTGAGTGCGCGGCAGCGTTGCATAGACATTTTCTGCAAAGTTTTTAAATTCAAATTTAAATAAAAAATGAAAGCATATTATAAACCGCCATGGGTAGAAAGGTAAAAACAGAACAGGGTGCGGTCGGCGGCTTTTAGCCGGTTTTTGCTCTGCTTTCGCCGGGTCAAGGGATCCCCCTGCCCGCACTACTGTTTATCTGAATAAGTCTACGACTACGCTGCGTCGCCGACTAGCTGAATTCCATTTATGGTCATATCAAAGCGTTTCCGCTGTTTTTACCGTTCTCGGCTGACTCATTTTCGGCGTCGCCGCTATTGCTGTTTTCACTACTTTTATGGTAATTTTAGAATCAAGTATAACTTACTGTTTTCATAGGCCGGTTGTTGTGGTTGCGCCATTGCTTTTTCTCTAGTGGCTTACGATTTCCTATTGGCTTTGTATAAATAGCAAATTGATATATTAGCGTAAAAACACCCGCACTTGCACTGTACGCGACCAGGGCTGTCGTACAAATTTGATGCCTTTCGTTGTTATTAAGTTTAACAGCGACAAGAGTTTAACATTATAAAATTCTGCTATTAACATGTCAAAACTGCTGTTATTCGAATATTTTTCCACAAAAACACTATTAATTTTTTTATTTACTTAGCGGAATTCAATACACATTAGTAGAATTTAGCAATCAAGTTTGACGTCGTTTGGAAGAAAGGCGGCTATTTAGTTTCAAATTTGAATTTAACAGTCTACTTTACAGTTTATACATATGCATAACTAGCCATAACATGTAAAAGCATACTGTCTCCAAGCAGAGAGGGCTGGAAATAAAAATGTCTTGACGTTTGTACAATGTTAAAAGTCAGCTGATCTGTTATGTTAGTACTCATTTCGAACCAGTAAGCAGCTGTTTAATGCTATGCATCATTTGCCATTTTCTTCTACCTTATGCATTATTTAAAAAAAAACATTTTTCATTAGGCCTTTCGTAAATTTTTTTCGAACCAAACTCCATTTACCAAATCAGTTATTTGGTTTATGTTAAACAAGTATTGACTTTTGGGAAACAATTTGTTGCGCTGTTAATAACTTTCAGGGAATGTTAAAGTTTCTAGGTGCCCACAACTATCTGTATGTAATTTGTAACCTTAAAAATGATATGTTTACTTTTGCGACATACGCGTAATTCCCGTCAATTACTTTTTAAGCATGTTTTAAAATCACCGGTTTACACAGTGAAAAATGCGCTGCACACGACAAGATGTAAGTGACCCGCCTCAATGTTGGGCTCAGCTGGCATTTGCAATTGTGCGTGTTGATTATGAAATTAAATTTGGCTTGTGTATTGTTTTTAGTTCTGAGACATGGGGAGTATGAGTGGCAAGATCCTAAATCACCGGATGAAATGTAAGTAACTGACAATGATAAGCGCATTAATGTGGATGTTATAATTTGCTCGATCTAGCGTTAACATAACGTATGTTGACAAGGATGGCAAACGGACCAAGGTGCAAGGAAAGGTTGGCGACAATGTGCTGTACCTGGCTCACCGGCATGGCGTTGAAATGGAGGGTGCCTGTGAGGCATCTCTAGCTTGCACCACATGCCATGTTTATGTGCAGCACAACTATCTCGAAAAGCTGAACGAGGCAGATGAAAAGGAGGATGACCTGCTAGACATGGCGCCATTTCTGCGAGAAAATTCCCGCCTTGGCTGTCAAATAGTGCTCGAAAAAAGCATGGAGGGCATGGAGCTTGTGCTGCCGCAGGCAACACGTAATTTCTATGTGGACGGGCACAAGCCAAAGCCTCATTAACATAGCGTTGTTTATTACTATTATTCCCAGTTAAATAAAGATTATGTTTTAAGTGTTCGTGTTCCCAACTTTCATATATTTCTTAAGTTTATAAACAATGCTTTCGTTTTGTGTGTCATCCGGCAAATTAAACTAAAGAACATTTTATTAAGTTGAGCCTATATAATTACATTTTCTAATTGGTGAATACCATGAAATGAAAGCAGAACGAAAAGGATGAAAACAGTTTGAGTTTGTGGAAATGTGGTGTCATAAGAAATGGTATAAAACAATATTGTAATAATTATGTTACAATTAAAGAATATATGTAATAGTCTAAATGTGTATAGCGACAAACTAAAAATCATTACAACAAATACACTGCACTGTAGAACGTTTGTGCCAGTGTGTGTGAATGATGCTCGTTGGGTTAAGTGTGCGTTCAGTTCGACGATGGACTGCTGGAACCTGAGCGAGAGTGCACGCTACCACGGTCCTGGTCGCTGCGCTCCTCATCACGATCGCGACTCTTTTCATCCTTGTCCAGATCACGTTCTGGCTCTCGCTTGCTTTGCTTATCGGGCGCAGGAACAGCAACAAGTTCTTCTTTAGGCGATAAGTTCTCGCGTTTGATTGCTTCCTTTTCAGCTTTGGTGACGCCGCCGACTCCACCGCCCTTTTTGTTGTTGCTCTTCTTCATAACAGCCAAGTCTTTCAGAAGGCTGGCAACCTTACGATTCAAATTGTCAACTTTCATGTCATGCAGCCGCTCAACCTCCTTCAGCCTGTTGCGCATCTCGTTCTCCTTTTCGAAGTTTTTGCCCTTCAGCTCTGTCAACTGCAAACATTAATAATATTCATTACAAATGCATTAGCATTGTTTTAATGTGTTGTTGCGTGTCACCCACTTGCTTATCCTTCTCCAGGAGCTCTTTGTCTTTTTGATTCAAGCGCTTCTCCAGACTGGCAATGCGCTCCTTCAGATATGTAATGGCTACCACGTGATCCGACGAGTTTGTGTCCACTGTGATGGCAGCTGGTGCAGCAATTGTGCCGTTACCGCTATTGCCGCGCGATATCTTGTCGGGTAGATCCAAGCCGACACCGCTAACTGAGGTCACACCGCTGGTATTGATGTTGCCAGTGCCTTTGGAAATGTCTCCACCGCGTGTTGATTTCTTGGCGGACGCGTGACCTTCTCTATGCGCGGTTGACGAGGACTTCTCATGTGGTCGCTTCTTAGACATGGATATTCGGCCCTCCTGCTGCGCTTTCAGCAGAGCACGCTTATACGCACAGGTACACAGCCAGCACAGTACTTTACCATTGACCTGCAAGAGGGCAAATAATTGTACGGTTAACAAAGATTAAGTGTTATTTGTGATTATGCTGGCTTAAATATGAAATTCTGCTCTAAAGACTTTTAGGCTCAACACTCTTATGAACGCAATACAAAATCTCTGGACTCATGACTGCAACACGCCACTCGATGGAGCTGTACATGGTATTTGTCTAACTAAAACAGGTTTGTCTTAAAATTATGTTATTCAATATTGATAAAGTAAAATGGCTGCAATCCTTGATGCTGACTCTAGCTACATCAGCTTTGAGCCTTCTTCTTTGTATATCGCTGACCTTTTTGTTCTCGTCGCGCCTGTCAAAGGCCGATCGCAGCTTGCACTCGTCGCATTGTGTGGGCGGTCCGTACTTAGCTTCGTAGCTGGCGCATCTATTTGCAGTTAGTGTGATATTTGGTTTGGTTAAAATGTTTTTCATTTTGTTTGGCACACACACGTGGAGCAGAAAAGAGAAGAGAGAAAAATGTTTTGCGTTCATAAGAGACGTTGTTTTCGTTTCTATTTTGTTTGGTTTGCTATTTGAAGAGTTCAAGAAGAGAGTATCTACTCAAGGGCAAGGCAAACGCGCTTTGGTACATGTATTTTGAAGGCACAATTAATTGGGTAGCAGGGGAAGGTACATAAATACATACATAAAGTTCGTTTAAAAAGTTATTTGACTATCAAATTATATTGATACGAGCTCTTTATACATTGTGCATTCAAATTACAGCGGCTGCCACGTTGCTCGTGCTTTTTAATTTAATTTTTTTTTTTCTAATAAAGTGACTAGTTTTTGCTTTAGTTAAAGTGATTGAGTTGAAGATCAACGTACCTCATGCATTTGGAACTGCCGAAGGCGGCAACGATTTTGCAGCACTCACAGGCGGTGGGCTTGCCATATTTACTCAAATAATGTTCGCATTTTTTACAGGCACTCTGTGATTTGCTGAAAATGTGAAAAAAAAATAACGAATAGAGCCATGCAGCAGAATAGACAGATTTACGCATTTTCCTTTACTTACGAGGTGGAGGGAAATTCCGAGCGGCAGTAAGTACATTTAACAACTGAGGTAGAACCACGGCACACCTGTGGAAAATCAAAATGAAACGTGAGTTGTGTTTATCAGCCTTCAGCCTTGGCCAAAATAAGTGAGAATTGATCGCCGAGCACGAGCATATTTTGCTGCTTTGCTTTTGTTTGTTTGCATTGCAATTGTATTCTCAATAAAAGCTGTGTTTAGCTGGACCCTGAATTGATGGGGAATTGCAGTTAAACACATTACAATTCCGACGGCAGCTTCAAATTTCATTAGTCACAGGCGTCGTCGCCACGGCCATATACAAAGTTGCAACGAGCTGCTACCATTCTGCTTCCTCTTGCCGTTCATTTTCACTTTTAATGCGCAGCAAGAATTTTCGCAAGCAAGCAAGCGTCGCGTCATTTTTATTTTGTTATTGCCAAAAACAATAGCCCACGTACACATCCTTTACTTTTGGCACAATGCATACACACACATGCGAAATGCTGTTTGTTTGTTGCATTTTGTGTTTGTTTAAGAAATTTAATTCGTATTATTTGGTTCACCTTGCAAAGCTGCTGGCCCGAGGAAAGTTCTTCGTATGGGTGCCGAGAAAAACATTTGGAGCATGCGAATAATACTTTTGAACTCATTTCTAAATTTGTGTTTTATTTTTCTTTTGTGCTATTTTCTTTAATAAATTTTACTTTTTATTTGCGATTTAGAAGACGACGCAAACAGTGTCACCACAATAATAAAATTGAAATACTAGCTCGGCATTGGGTTGACCATGCTTCACGCAAACAAATATTTATCGATTCCCAATTTATCGAACGCACAGCAACCCTCTAAATACAGCTCAGTTTAAGTGAGAGCAAAGAAGAAGAGAGAAAGACGCCTCAAAGCAAAATTCAAACAATTCAAAAAACGTCCAATTCAGGCTGTACTAATAACTCAACAGAAAACAAGAAAAAACAAACAGATAACAACAATAAGCGAAAAGTGTAACTAAAAAGTGTCAAACATGCCTGAACAAACCAATATTAAAGTGATAGTGCGCGTTCGACCATACAATCAGCGGGAAACAGAACAAAATCAAAGATGTATTATAAAAGTAATGGACGGATCTTCACTGTTGTTCGACCCAGACGAGGAAGACGACGAGTTCTTTTTTCAGGGTGCCAAGCAGCAATACAGAGACATTTCAAAGCGTACTAACAAAAAACTATCAATGGAATTCGATCGTGTCTACGACACAGATCGCACAAACGAGGACCTGTTCATGGAGTGTACAGCGCCGCTGGTCGATGCAGTGCTCGATGGGTAAGTGTAAGAAAGCACCTGAAACATAATATTGTTGTTAACGTGTGCATCTCGCTGTGCTGACAGGTACAATTGTTCGGTGTTTGTGTACGGTGCGACGGGTGCAGGCAAAACATACACAATGCTTGGCAGCGAAAATAGTCCGGGCCTCACGTTTCTGACAATGCGCGACCTTTTCGAGAAAATTCAAAGCCAACAGGACATACGCAAGTTCGATGTGGGCGTCAGCTATTTGGAGGTGTATAATGAGCAGGTTATGAACCTGCTCACAAAAACAGGCCCCCTAAAGCTGCGTGAGGACTCTAATGGTGTGGTCGTGAGCGGATTAGTTCTGAAGCCCATATACAGTGCTGACGAGCTGCTGCACATGCTCAGACTGGGCAATTCGAATCGCACACAGCATCCAACGGATTCCAACGCGGAAAGTTCACGTTCGCATGCTATTTTCCAAGTTCACATTCGGATCACGGATCACAAGACTGGCGCCAAGCGCAGTGTAAAGCTCTCCATGATTGATTTAGCAGGCAGTGAACGTGCGGCTAGCACCAAGGGCCTTGGTATGCGCTTCAAGGAGGGCGCCAGCATCAACAAGAGCTTGTTGGCGTTGGGCAACTGCATAAACAAGCTGGCCGATGGTCTAAAGCATATACCCTATCGCGACTCGAACTTGACACGGATTCTAAAAGACTCCCTCGGCGGTAACTGCCGCACTCTGATGGTGGCCAATGTGTCGATGAGCTCGCTCACATACGAGGACACGTATAACACCCTCAAGTATGCCAGTCGCGCCAAGAAGATACGCTCTGTGCTGCGCCAGAATGTGCTCAAGTCGAACTTGCCCAAGGAATTCTATGTGAAGAAGGTTACCGAGCTAATGAGCGAGCAGGAACGTCTATTACAGCATAACAAGGGTCTGGAAGCCAAACTGGCGCAAATGGAACGCTCCGGAAACAATGGCTACGATCCACAGGAGCTTAAGCCTTGGTTTAGCCGAATTGACGCTGTATACGCTACTGTAATCAAGCTGCAGCAGTGCGTCATTGGTCTACGCAGCAAAATACAGACCCTGAGCTACCGACAAACGCTGAAGAAAGACTTTGAGCAGCTGCGCAAAATTGTGACTCTGGACCAACGCCTGTTTCAGGAGGTGCGTATCTTGATTAAATCTAAAATATTCTGCGGCCAAGCGTGATGATAAATTTTGCGAATTGAATTCGGTTATTTGAATAAATTTATAATCACGCTTAAGGCTAATTATCAGACAAAAATTTGGCTTACAAACATAGTTTTGATATTTCATAGGCAGTGACATTTATGGGCAAACTTAACTTGTATTCAATATCAGTCTTTATGCATCGCCTAGAAGCTCTTTCTGTTTGCTAGCCAACAATTTGTCCGCCTCGGCAATGTATTTGTCCGCAATGGCCGTGACCTGGGTCTGAGCCGCAAAGGCATCGTCCTTTCCAATGTCCGTCTGCTTCTTGAGTTTGCGTATCTGTGAATTCTGTATGTCCCGTATGGCGTCGCGATACTTGATAAACAAAGCTTTGGCATTCTTGGAGAGGTGCTCGCGATGCTCCTTGGTCACCTTGGGTATCGGTATGAAGAGTGTTGTGCCGTCCTGCTGCGGGTTCAGATTCATGCCGCTCTTTTCAATTGCCCGCAACACATCGGGTATCGTTTGGGGAAAGGCAATCATATTTACAACAATCGTCTTTGGATTCTTGCGCGATATCTGCGCCAGCTCCTGCAGCTCATGCTCCGCTCCATCCACTTTGATACGCAGCGAGTCGATGGCGCCGCTTGTGGAGCGCAGCGACAGGTTCTTTATGAAGTCGTCTTTCATTTGGAGCACTGACTTTTCCATCTGTGCATTCAGGCTGTCCAGGTTGATCAGTTCGCGCAGCTGCTGCTCATTTATCTCCACCTTAACAGTTTTACCTTTGCTGCCTTTTTCTTTCTTTCTATCCTTGCCTTTTGCATAACCGCGCGCCTGTTGCAGCCACAAGGCTGCTTCTCCTGCTCCCGTTTGTGGCTGTTGTTGATATTGGCCGAATGTATTGAGCACTGGACGAAGTGGCGTCAGCCTAGTGCTCAAGGCACGTAAATGCACTCCCGTTTTGGCGAGCATTTCCAAATAATTAAAATTTACAAATAAAATAAATGTCAAGTTGCCAACTTGCTTCAAATTGAATGTCTGGCAAACAGCGTTGCCAACTTGTTTCGCTGGGCAAGGACAGTACGCTGACGAAGCAAAAAGCTTTGAAAATGTTTGCTCTGTTTTATGTGTTTATAAAAATTGATAATTTTAAAAATATTCATACCTTGTTCGCAGGACTATAAACTATTCACGAACTATGTGAACGCATTGGGTGCAAGAAATCAGAAATATACCGATGAGCTGCCATTGTGGCGCAACAAGTTGGAGGCTGCCTGCATAAATCTGAAAAAGCTAAAGCTTGAGGCGAAGGAATCGAAGTACCACCACATACTCAGCTTGTATTTAAGCAATAAGGATCTGGAAGTGCAGCTATCCAAGCAGCAGATAAATAGCAATCATCTGACCGGTATTAACAATGAGCAGGCGGAGAATTCGAGCCTCCTGCGTAAGTCCTTTTCCATGATCTGCGATGTATTACATCAGTTATACAATCGTCTGGAGGAGACGCAGAAACTGACACCAGAGATACAAGGTGTGTACGAACGATTGGAAAGAAAGATGCGTTTCACAGAGTCGGAAACCGAAGCTACTGCGCAGGACATGGAATTGGATGCACTCCTCGCCGAGCAGCATGAGGAGGAGGAGCCGTCATCAACACTGACCAGTAGCGCCAGGAAGCGCAACCGCGCTCGTCGCTACACGCACACATTAACCAATAGTGAATTTGTGCTTCATCTGGGCGTGGATAGCTTCGAGGACACAGACTCTGACACGGACACTGTAGAGGACAGCCAGCAGGTGTTTAAGAAACCACGTAACCTTGACGTTACTCAAGTTATTGCCAGCAACACGAACTCGCACAAAGCGCTGACAGCGACCGTAACAAAGTCACGACCCGTCAGCCATCGTATGGTATCGGACATGCTCTCGGATCAGAATGTCTGCGGATCGGCAGACAAGGAGAAAATGAAGCAAGGTAAGCTTGAATCAAATGAAACCCCATAACCAACCCGTTGCTAAGTCTGTTGTCTTTTGCATTTTCCAGCTCTACTCAAATCTAGCAAGTTTACCACGCAGGGATTGCAGCGCACATGCGCAGCTGCGATACAAAAGGAGAATTTAAAGTTCTCAGCGAACTGTGTGAGGAAAAGTCCACGTGCTCTTATCGCAAAGAGTAAGTACTAAGCCAATAAAGATTACGTTTTTCCATCCATATATTTAATCATATTTTATGCAGCTCTCGCTGGCAGTTCGGCAACGTTGCGCAAACCGATATCTCGCCTTGCAGGAACCATTGGCTCGGGTGCCAAGGAGGCGCCAGTGGTAAGAATAAATCGAGCTGCCTCGTTTCGCGTAAAAAAATAACTAATGATGTTTGCATTATTTAAAGCGTTTATTTTTAATTTCGTTCGTTTTATGCAAACCAAACTTTTAATTTTCTACTATTAGTTTTGTAAAAACCTAATTAATCATTAAATATATATATTGTGTAAGTTTTTAATTTTTTACGTTGAAAAGCATTGTGTAATGCTTCAACTTTAGAAATATAATGTCGATTCCTTGCCAGCACCCAAATGTTGTCTATCGTTCCGATACATGTCACCAGCATGCCAGGTCCCGATTCGCTGTGCCGGCGCCAGTCCTAGCAAGCCAAGCAGCATATAGAGCAGGGCGCCTAGATTGACACCCAACAGCAGCAGGCCCGGGCCAAGTGAAGCAGCTTGCATGGGACCCGGCCAGCCAGTTTGTTGACCGCCAAAGCCGCCGTAGGCCAAGCGACGCCAAGGTTGGCGTTCAACTAAATCACTTGGTAGCTGATCCAAGTCCTGGTCCTTTTTCTTGCTTTCAGCTAAAAGCGTATAGCGGGGCACAAACGGTTTGTCTACTGCTTTATGGGCATCACTTGCCGCCGCCACCAAGCACAGTGCAAAGAAAATAAACAACTGCATGACGGGAACTGTTTGTCTAGCTGATGCCCGTCGTTCTCTTTTATAGCATCGCACGGGCATAGATCGCGCCTACAATGGGTACAGCTGAGTGATTCTTTTGAGCTGTCATCAGTCCCGTCTATCAAAAGTGTACACAATAAAAAGCCCATTGACCCAACTGTAAGGCATGCTTGTCGTTTTATGTTTACATATGATAAGAAAACGTTTGTTCATTTTATTGTCCTTCTGGTTGAATGCGCAACGTGACGGTCTAGTTGAGACGCTGCGCTTTGAGCAGCACTTGTGGCTTCTCGATTTCGGATTTGCTTTGCACGAGCTTCAGCTCGCGTTCCCAGGCCTGCACTGGCCCGCTACGTGGTGGCAATAGCTGTACTGTGCGCTTTATCACGGCCTGCAGGGTGGCAATGGTCTTCTCGAAGGCGTCGGTGACATCGCCGCTGTCATGACTGTGTGCCAGGAAGAGTGAAGCAAAGAGATCGCCGGTGCCAGTGAAGAACAGATCCTTGTTTCCTTGCTTGGGTATATCGATGGCGAGCCGCGGCCCATTCACCTGGCTGAGGAAGGCGCGAAGAACGCCCGGCTGCCCCAAGTCGCTGCTAGAGATGACAACCGTTTTGATTTTGCGTTGGTGAAACCAATCCATTGCCTCCCATACGGCTGCCTCACTGCGAACCTCTTTACCAGTAAGCAGCTCCACTTCATACTGATTGGGCGTTAAAATATCGGCTAGTGGAATGATCTCATCGCGATATACGGGTAGCAGCTCCTTGGGAACGTACATGCTGCCATTGTCACCCATAACGGGATCACATACATAAATCAGGTTGGGATTTGCTTTACGAATTTGCTTGAGAATGTCGCCTACTTGACGCAGGAATAACGGATTGCCAATGTAGCCAGTCAGTAGATGGGAATAATGAGACAACAACTCATTCTCCTGCAGACCCTCGAAAATATTGGCTAAACAGCGAGAAAATTATTGAAATTATACAAGCTTAATTGATTTAAATTAATTAAGTGTGTATATTAACCCAATTCTTTTTCAGTGGATACTGGGCCCTTGAAGCATTTATAGCCCGTATGATTCGAGAACTGTACCGAGTTCAGTGGATCCACGTCGAAACCAAGCAGCTAATAAAGAGTGAATGTAAATATCGTAAGCACATGACTGGTATTTAATGTATTCCGTAACCGACCTGCAGGGGATAAGTAGCCACCTTATTGCCCACATAGCCGTGCACTACGTGGCTTTGAATGGAGAGCACTCGTTTGGCATCAGGCGTCGTCATATTAATAATGTTGCAGTATTGTTTACGATTCTGCAGCTGAACTCCAATGGCAATGCAACAAGTGCGCTGATGGAACCGGTTGGCCGTGCTGTAAGCTACTAAGCACAACCGTTTTAGTTTTAATATACTAGGTATCAAGCCTCAGTCATCTTATCAGCACTCGGTGGGCGCTCACTCACTGATAAGTCATAGACCGTAATGGCCGCCGGGGCAATAAACAATGAGATCTCAGTAAACAGTAGTATCAATCTGAATTGTTCTATAGCATTACTATATTTTGTTATGTTATTAAACAATCGAACTGCCTTTTGACCTTGGACGACAATCAAACTTTAAGTTTCATACATTTCTGCCCGATCCCCTCGTTTGATATTAACACCCACTTGCTTCGGCAAGTGTGTATTTGGTATCGATACCTAAACAGCTGATGTGCAGGCTTTCACTGTGAATGGCATTTTTCTATTGCATGGTTTACGTAAACTTTTAATTGTAAAGTTATCTATAAAACCCGATAATTAAGTGCATTTTCTAAATTTTAACCACTCGAGATTTACCATGGCGGCCAATCTAGCACGTTTGCTGGAGTGTAACATACGCTGCAACAATGCAGCAGCAGTGCAAAATAGTTTGCGGCTATTTAGTAATCAGTGGCAGCAGCAGACGGAAGTGGAAGATGATGAAGGTAGCCAGCGAAAATAGTTGTAAATAAAGTTAATATCAAATGGCTTGTGCTTGCAGAATTTCGTGTGCTCAACCTGCGTACTATTAAACAGCAAGCACGCAGACGGGAAATAAGAAAGGATGCGGTGCAGCCACCACGCACAACGCGCATGTCGGTCGATCAGGATTGGACGGCCGTATGGTCCGGACCGCGTTCATTTCATCCAGCCAGTGTGCCGCTGCCATTGCGTCAAGGCTACACAGAGCGCGGAGCAGCTGCGCCCTCGAAGTACGCGAATGCAGAGTTAATGAAAATACCAAATTTCTTACATTTGACGCCGCCAGCTATACGGCAGCAATGCGAGGCAATCAAGAAGTTTTGCACGCCCTGGCCGAAAGGCCTAGAGACGGAGGCCAAATGGAAGCAACCCTTTCCTATCGAAGTTATCACTACAGACTATTGCCACAGTCTACCAACAATACGACATCCGGAGGCTCGCCGCGTGACCATCATGCTAAAACTATCCGATTTGAAGTTCGATGCACATGCAAAAGATAAATTCCTACGCCTTGTTGGCGAACGATACAACCAGGAGACTGGAGTGTTAACATTTTCCGCTGATCGCTGCCCTATGCGCAAGCAAAATTATGACTATGCTTTATATTTGTTAACGGCATGTTATCACGAGTCCTTTGTCACGGAGCCATGGGAAGCTACCAAATCGGAGGCGGACATGGAGGTGTATCAATTTGAACGAAACCGAGCGAAACGTTCCGCCGAGGAGATACTCAATTGGAATGCAACTGGCGAACAGAAGGATGCGCCCAGCGCTAACTATGCAAAAAGTGTGGAGGCGTTGATAAATGAGGGTGAGAACGAGTACAACATAGCCAAGTATAAGGAGGAAGTACTGAAAATGTTAAAAATAGCTATCTAGTAAGCATTTCTACAGATATATTTGGTAAAACACTAAAATAAAATTGTAAACTCTATTAAAATAAAAAAAAAAAACAACAACAAACCATCAGGCGCCATAAATGCCGGTACAACGTGAACGCATGCGGCAGCTGATTTGAACGACCGCGTGTCGTGGTGAATGTCAAAAGAACAGCGGGCATTTAAGAAGCAGCAGCAATTAGTCGAAATAGAAGAAGACTGGTTTAGTGAACGTGGATTCGAGTATTTTACTTTCATAGATAATTAAAATTTAAAACTACTTTAAACCGAAACAAAAACCGCCTAAAGTCGCCATATGACAGGTAAAATTTACAAGCTGCTCAAGTGACGTATACAATTATCTACAGTGAAAACACAAAAATAACAATCGAAAAATAAACCAAATTACATTCAGTGTTGGGTTGACCCGAATATTTTTTTTCTTTTATCTACGTGATTTTTGGCTGCTTTCAGCTGATATTACCGGAAGTTGGCTGCCATTTAATTCTTTGTTTATCATAACTTCTAAAAAACTACTTAGAATTGTCTTCGTAGGCTATGTCAACAGTCGCAGTCGCCGCTTATCAGCAAAATGCTGTTTGTTTTTGCTTGCTTTGTAATTGTCTCACACACACACACACAAGTGAGTAGTGCGGTTATGTATGTGTGCTTCTCTTGAGTAGTTACAGTGAGGCCTGGCGTCAGTTCTCTTTGAAGCTTGCGCCGAGCAACAACCTTTGCTGCACTGCCTCAACAGATTTAATTTAATATAAAATAATATAGTATATATAAATGGTAGGTTATTTGAATATTCTATTTTATGTGGGTACACGTAATAATGGCGCACCGATATTCCACAAATTCGTTAAACTTTTTTCGCAGATTTGTACTTGGCGTCTATAAACCCAGCTTTGGCTGGAAGGTCGCATACACAGCTCACGGTCGCTGGAGCATGGTAAACCCAAAGCACAGAGACTCAGCTCACTAATACAAGCATATATCATATACATATATATGCACAAACCGTCAGACCAAAGAAAATATTCTTATTGAAGAATGTTAAAATGGCTTGATGTATTATTGAATGGTGTATCAACAAATAAAAAACAAATATTTACTTTGCTTTAACTATATTTTAACATAAATGCAGATACTTCACTGTACTTATTGTTCTTTTGCTCTTATCTTTCAGCTGGAAATTGGCTCGCAGCGACAATTTGCAGTGGAAGTGGAAGACGAAACAGAACTAACCAACACCAGCTGAACCAACAACACGCAACGTTGCCCATTTTGACTCGCTCATGAGTATCTCTGTCGGCAGCAGTTGTAGCAGTGGGTCGCAGTCTGCGTAGCCAGCGAGATTGACACGTATCCACAATAGAACTAACGTAGTCTGCACGCAGAATGCGTCGTCCCAATATAAAATGGATGATCAAGTCGGCATTTTTGGTGCTGGTTTCGCTGATGCTCTTCCTGTTCATCACCAGCTGGATTTCGTCTACGCCATATACAAATAAGCCAGTGCATCATGGGATCGAGCCTGTGCCCTTAAGGCCTGAGGCACTGAGGTCTGGCAACAGGCGAATGGAATATCCCAAAGACTTTCAGATGGATCTGCCGCTGCACAAAGTAAAGAATGATGTTGTGCAGGAAGCGCCACAGGTGGATCAGCCAGAAAAAGAAGACGCAGAAGACGCACAAGATCAATCGGAGGCTGATGTGCCGGATGCAGCGATCAATAAGGTGGAACAAGGAAACGAGAATCTTCAGGTTGCAGCACCCGATGACAATCGACTGAAGAAGGACTGGCACGACTACACGGCAATGGAACGCGATGCCAAGCGCGTGGGGATCGGCGAACATGGTGAGGCCGCCAAGCTGGACGAGAGTCTGCGAGACAAGGAGCAGGTTCTATCGCTTGAGAATGGCTTCAATGCATTGCTCTCCGACTCTATATCAGTGAATCGCTCCCTGCCCGACATACGGCATAAGGAGTGAGTACTATTCGGGTCAGTTTCCATTACGGTTTCTAATGTTCACCTTCATTACCAACCAGGTGTCGCAAGAAACAGTATCTCAGCAAGCTGCCGAACGTGTCTGTGATCATCATATTTTACAATGAGTATCTGTCCGTGCTGATGCGCTCCGTGCACAGCTTAATAAACCGATCGCCGCCAGAGCTGCTCAAGGAAATTATCCTCGTGGATGACTTCAGTGACCGTGCGCCTCTCTTCAAGCCGCTGGAGGACTATGTTGCCGAACATTTTAGCATGGTGCGCATTGTGCGTCTGCCACAGCGTACGGGCTTAATTGGTGCACGCTCTGCGGGTGCACGGAATGCCACTGGCGATGTACTGATATTTTTAGACTCGCACGTCGAGGCCAACTACAATTGGCTGCCACCACTGCTGGATCCGATTGCGCAGAACAAGCGGGCGGCCGTCTGTCCGTTCATTGATGTCATCGATCACAGCAATTTTAATTATCGTGCGCAGGATGAGGGCGCGCGGGGCGCGTTCGATTGGGACTTTTTCTACAAGCGACTGCCGCTTTTGCCAGAGGATCTGAAACATCCGTCGGATCCGTTCAAGAGTCCCGTCATGGCCGGCGGTCTCTTTGCAATTTCCAGAGAGTTCTTTTGGGAGCTGGGCGGCTATGATGAGGGTCTCGACATTTGGGGTGGTGAGCAGTATGAATTAAGCTTCAAGATCTGGATGTGCGGGGGCGAAATGTATGATGCACCTTGCTCTCGTGTGGGTCACATCTATCGCGGTCCACGCCAGGGCGTAAAAAATCCACGTTCCGGTGACTATTTACACAAGGTGAGTAATTGGATAACTACTTACAATATTTGCTTTGACGAATTTATTTTCTAGAACTACAAGCGTGTAGCAGAGGTCTGGATGGATGAGTACAAGAACTACTTGTACAACCACGGAGACGGTATCTACGATAATGTAGATCCTGGTGATCTGACGGCACAGAAAGCCATACGCACCAAGCTCAAGTGCAAATCGTTCAAGTGGTTCATGGAGAATGTAGCCTTTGATTTGATGAAGAGTTATCCGCCCGTTGATCCGCCCGACTATGCCAGCGGCGCCATACAAAATGTCGGCGATAATACGCTGTGTATAGATACGCTTGGCCGTGTCCGACACAATCGCGTTGGCATGTACCGTTGTGCAAATGATCTGGTGAAGCCACAGCGAACGCAGTACTGGTCGCTAAGCTGGAAGAGAGATTTGCGACTGCGCCGTAAAAAGGATTGCCTGGACGTGCAAATATGGGATGCGAATGCGCCTGTTTGGCTGTGGGACTGTCACGGGCAGCAAGGTAATCAGTATTGGTTCTATGACTATCATACGAAGATGATAAAGCACGGCAAGGAAGGCAAACGCTGCATGGAGCTGCTGCCCTTCTCCGAAGAGCTGGTGGTCAACAACTGCAACGAAACAAACGAATATATGCGGTGGAACTTTGGATTCGTCAACAAAACGGCGCTGGACAATTACAGTGTAGATTTAGAGCTCCTATTGTAAAAGTCTTAAGAACCGCTCGTCACTTGCCATGTACTTAAAACGCAATTGTCAAGTCTAATTTTATATTTTATGTAGCTATATGTACATATGTATTTGTGTAGACCTATCTAGTTAGTAAGCAAGCTTGGCGCGCGTCACGTTTCGCACATTCCGATTGTCAGTTATATTTTGACTACAAATTAAATTTGAGAACGTGTTCATTTCTTTTTATCGGGTACTACCCCATTTTGCCCAGGCGATAGAAATAATACATTCCTATTTTCATTTCTCATTGTAAATTTGGTTCAAAATTTTTAATTCCAAAAAGACATTCCAAGATGAATCTACCTTTGTGTGGAGCTATCTGGTCTATAAGCAAGATAGAACCAAGTTCCGTATAACTGTCAATTATTACCTAAATGAAATTCAACTACAAATAAAACAAGGTGTTTAACTTTGTTTGTTGTTTTATTTAATATTAATATCTGTTTGCTTTCAATACGCGTACTTTAAATAAATATAATTTTTGTTTTATTTCATATTCTTTATATGAGATTGTTTTTTCATATTTTCAGTTTTGTTTATCGTTTTACAATATGTATCATTATCATCATTAGCTCCAACCTTATTATCGTCTCATGATTTTTTTGTCGATCTTTTACGTGCAGTGTTTTTTTTTTTAGTGTTTCAATCATTCTGTCGACAGTTTGTTAAAATTAATATACGCCAATATTTATAGTATATATTCTCCAATATATATATAGTGTATATATATCTACATATATGTATATATATATATTTATATATGTATTTTTATCTTCATGTTCGGCCTGCGCCCCGCAAATAACTCAAAACACATTGTAAACTCGTTTATAAATTAATAATGGCAAAAAGTTGGTTTTTCTTTTATTTTGAAAATTATATAAAAAGCATTTACAAACTATAATAGTTGTTGGCTTGCGTAATCAGTTAATCAATTATCAATTATCAATTATCATAATTTATATTTATATATATAAACATTTAAATATTTATCAAAACATGTTTTTTCTTGTTGCTCAAAAGTCTTCTTCGCTGCCTTACATTTACATACATACGTTTTACATTTATGATTCTCTCCTGCACACTTCTTTCTCACCTTCGTCTTCATAATTTCAAATTATCAGCATAAGTATACATATATTTAATAACCGTTTTGTGCAAAATAATCTGTTTTTCTTTTTCTTTTTCGTTTTTTGTTTTGTTTTTGTTTTTGTTTAGACTAATTTGATTTGAAATTCAGTTTGCGCTGCCATTTTGTTGTTGTTTTTTTTTCTTTTGGATGGATGTAAATTAATTGAGTTATCTTTTTACAACAATTCATGCGTGAAATGAATAAGCAAAATATGTTGTCCTTTAGTTAATTTATAGTTGTTGTTTTTGTGTACTTAATACTTGCTTGGTTTCGAGTCTTTTTTTTTTTTGGATTTTTATGTTTTTCTTTTTGAGTTTGCTTCAACATTTACAGCACATATTATATATAAAAGAAAGTTCTACCTTTTTGGGCGCGCATAAATAAATAAAACTTCATTTGTTGCTCTTTATTTCATATATGTTGTCTGGGTAATTTGTGTGTGTTTTTTTTTGTTTTGCTTAAACTTAATTTATTAATAATGTTTAAAAAATGTCTTGATGCCTTACGCGCTGCTCTTCTCTTTGCTTTACTAACATTTCCTTCACTCGCCCCTCACATGTTTTATGCTTTATGCTTAATTATGTGCTTTTTACGTATGCTTAGCTTAAAATGCTGCCCATCCCAGCCCCCTCCTTGTTGTGCTCATATCGCCAGACGCACACATACTAAATACAAAAGTGTTAGTATGTAAATTTAATTTGTTTTTGTATTTTCTTCATTTTTCTTTGTTATTGTAGTTTGCCTTTGTAACGCTCTCTCTGTGTGGCTGCGTGTGTGAGTGTGTGTGTCTGTTTGTGAATGTACTTGCAGTTAACGGTAAATCAAATATGACAAATGCAGCTCTCTTGCGTGTAGAGCGACAATCGAAAGAGAGTCGCTTGCAATGCACCAAAAGAGCGTCATTTGCTGGCCATCAATTTGAATTCGCTTGGCGCTTAAGAGTATGCAACAGCACCAAGAGATAGTCAAATTGTTGGGTTTTGTTGAATTAAAGTGCAAAAGCTAGTTGAAAAATATTTGTTGATTTTGTTGTGCTATTTTAGTGTCTAGCAGTAAAAACATGTTACCGACTATTTAATTAAGTTTTGTATTTTGTTTAGTTGTTTGCGAAATTGTTTACGTTGTTTCTAGTTTGCTTTAAAAATTGGTTTATTTGTACTTTTGGCAATGATCTTTTACGAGTGTCCGTCCACTAACAGTTTTTTATTTTCTTTGTTTTTGCTTGATCGTTTGTTTAAAATATTAATTTGTTTATTTTGCTCGCGATAGAAACTCAAGCAAAAATACTTTAGCATTTTATTTATTAGGTAATTTGTTTTGTTTTATTTTTTAGTGATTCAGTTTTTGTTTTCTAGTGTTTGTTCTGTAGTTTGCTGTTTGTAGTGTGCTTTGATTCTTAACAGAAAGAGAGAACATCAAATAAAAGTAACTCATTTAACAGAATTTGCCAACAATATAGCTGCTCTTAAGAAACTAAAGTTTGCCTTTTTTTCTTTTTTGTTTTTCTATATGTATATGTATCTAGCTGCATTTGTGTTCTTCCAGTGTATAAACTAGGCATGTGTGTGTGTGTGTGTGTGTGTGTGTGTGTGTGTGTATGTGTTAGTGTGTAGTGGAGTTTTGGTAGTGTTTTACTGCATGCTGGAATGGTGCCTGGCTGGGACACCCTGCCACCTGCTGCCCGCCTCCTACCCTCGTATGGCACACGAAATCAGGACGCGTTTACAAAAATAAATTGCTGTGAGAATATTTCAGTCGATTGTGGCATAAGCTTAGAGCTAAACGGCGATAGATCCAAGCGATTGCGACTGCAACTACTGCTACTGTAACTGTTACTGCTACTGTTACTGTTACTGTTACTGTTACCGCTACTGCCAGTAGTAGTAGCTGCCCCCCATCTGGCGCTGGTAGGCGCTCAGGTTTGCTGCGCTGGCTGCGGCGGCTGCTGCGACGGCTGCTGCGGCGGCGGCACGCCCACCGCTGCCGACTGCTGGGCTGTTGGGCCATTGGCGTTGCCAGTGTTGCCATTCGCGTTGGTGTTGCCATTCGCGTTGGCGTTGGCGCTGCCATTCGTGGACGAGGTTGGACTGCTATTGCCCTCCTGATAGGGCCCCGTAACCACACATGGGTGCATAGGAAACAGGGTCGTCCACGACGTTGTTGTTAGTGTTGGTGCGTGGAGGGCAACTTTCTCGTTTTTTGGCTGCTCGCTGTTGTTGTTGTTATTGTTACTATTGTTGTTGTTATTGTTCGACTGCGACTTCTTGCTGGCATCGGTCTTCTTCTTCTTGCTGCCACTGGCGCCATTCTTGACGGCCCCGCCACTGCCATTGGATTCCTTCTTAATGCTGGGCAGCGGCGGCGGCACCGTTGCCGCCATTTGTTCATCGTGCATATCCTCGTCCTCGTCATCCTCGCCCGCGGCCTTTTTCAGCAAGCGCTCGCGCTCCTCTTTGGCTTTGTTGTCGAGGTCCGTGTTGATCTTCTTCACGCGCATCTTCTCCTCCCACTCGTCGATGCCGTGCCTGGCCCGATTCAAGTTGCGATGCTGGTAGAAGATCAGAGTCATGCGCGTCGGCTCATGGCGATCCGGTCGCCGCACAGCTGTTGTTGCATGCATCTCGTGCTTGGCGCACTCGATCAACACGCTGCCATGATTCAGCGCAATGGCAACGCCGCCCATTTGCGGATCCTGGAACGCTTCAATGTTCTCATTAATCTCGGCCACCTCGCCAATGGGCTCGATTTTGCTCGAATTGGTGCTGGCCGGCGCGACTGTTGTCGTCGAGTTGCCGTTGCCGGCTGCAGATGTGTTGCCGTTGGCATCATTGCTGTTGCTGCTGTTGCTGTTGTTGCTGTTATTGCCAATGGGCGGCACTTCAGCCGTAGGCGCTGCTGTGGGCGTGGCAATGGGCTCCACGCTATTAACAGACAGTTGGCCGTTGCTCAAATCGGGCAAAACAGTTTGGGGCGGTGTCGCCGGCAACTGTTGCTGCTGCTGTTGCTGTTGCTGTTGAGGCTGTTGCAGTTGCTGTTGTTGTTGCTGCTGCTGCTGCTGCAGTGGAGCCACTGCTGTTGGCAACGTGGGCTTCACCAGAGTCGCTCCTGATGGCACAGGACCATGCGTGGCCAACAGTGCGCCACCAGCTCCTCCGCCCGAGGGCCCATAGCCGCCAGAGCCCTGATGATGTCCGTAAACATTCCAGTTGGGCGACGGCGGCGTCGGCGGGGGCGTCTGCTGCGGATACATGCCGTACGGTGAGTATGCCTGATGATGATACCCATAATTATAGTTCATGTTCTGGTAGGCATCGTACGCGGAATAGGCCGAGTGCGGCGGCGGCGGAGGCGGCGGGTACATCTGATAGTTATTCGGGTATTGCGAGTACTGGTAATCGCTCGGCGGCGGCTTCGGCTTGACGAAGCCCTCTGGCGTATGCGGATGATGGTGGTGGTGGTGGTGAAGTGGTGGTGCTAGATTAGTCATGGGTTGCATGGCTGTCAAGGCGGTTAACTTACTCTCGACCAGTGAGTGATTGACCAGCGTTGTCGAGTCGGGATTCTCCTCGCTGACGCGACTCTTTAGCTCACCACCAACAACTGTTGATATATCGACACCACCCTGCTGCTGCTGCTGCTGCTGCTGCTGATGTTGTTGTTGCTGCTGCTGCTGTTGTTGCTGCTGCTGCTGTTGTTGCTGTTGCTGCTGTTGTTGCTGCTGCTGCTGTTGTTGCAGCTGTTGCTGTTGTTGGTGCTGCTGCTGTTGTTGCTGCTGCTGCTGTGCGCCCAGTGCTGGCGACGTCAGATTGTTGTAGCTGGGCGTGTAGCCATTACTGGCATCGTGCTGCGCAGGCGTAGGCGTTACTGTAGCAGGCGTGACAGGTGGCAGAGCTGTAGCTGTTGCTGCTGGCGCAACTGTTGCTGCTGTTGTCGCTGTCGCAGCAGCAGCCGCTGTTGGCGGGGTCACCGCGTGCGTATGCTGCACCAGCGGCGCTGTGGGCGTCGTGGGCGTCAGTGCAGCACTGCCGGGTGCCATGCCCATGGCATGAGGCGGCCAGTTGCCGTAGTAGTTGCGCGAGTCAATATAGGAGCCCGTCTGGTAGTCATAGGAGTAGGGCGAGTCCAGTACGGTGCTCGAGATCTGGTTGGACTGCAGCTGGGCGTCCGTAAACGTGTCAATCATGGTGGCCATGTTCATAAGGCTCGAGTTCGAGCTCATCAGCTGATTGGGCTGGGCGCCAGGTGGACCGGGCACAGCGCCAGCTGCGGAGTTGCTGTTGTTGGCATTCGGATTGGCGCCGTGCTGATTGACCGGGGGCGTGCTGAACGCGCTGCCCGCCGGACTGGGATTGTTCGTCACTGGCGTCTGGCAGCGCGGCGAGGGAGTCGTCGGCGGCGCCGACCCGGGCGTGGATGCGCTGGAGTTATTCGACTTGGCCTTCGACTTTGATTTGCTGCCGCCGCTGTTGCTGGCGCCGTTCTCCTTTTTGATGTGCGCTGCGGCCAGAGCGGGCGGACTGCTCTGCTGGGACTGGGCCAGCTGCGACTGGGACTGGGTGCCGTTGCTGGAGCTCTGACTGCTGCCATCGGCGGCGGCGTCCTGTTCGCCATCTGGCGTCGCCGGCTCGTCCTCTTTGCGCTTCTTGCCGTGCCGACGACAGGGTATCAGCGGCGTGGAGCGTACTCGTACTTCGCAGGGAAATCTGTGTGGGAAGAGGCGTGAGGAGATTAATGGTTGTCCCGACCGGTACGAGCTGCAGCGGGTAGCTCAAAACTCAACACTACACTCACTTGTCCAGCATTTGCACAGCTCCGGTGCGATGCTTATCACGCTGCCCCTCGACGCTCTCGAACTCGTCCGTGCCGTCCATTGTGTAGAGCGGCAGGACGTGGAACTGCTCGTCGTCGGGCAAGCGGCTATCGCGATTGGTGGGCTTCAGCAGTGCCACGTGCACCGTGCAGCCATCCTGCATGTTGTGCAGATCGCGATGCGAGTGCGCACAAAAGTCTAGACAGGCGGTCACGCCCGAGAAGGGCTTGCCCGGCTCCAGGCCGAGCCGGCAGTCGGATGCCTCGTGCTCGTACTTGGTTTGATTGTCATAGGAGCGCGGGCACACCTGCTTAAAGACCGGCGCCAGCAGCGTGGCAATCAGATTCATGTGATCCTCAATCGCTGCCTCCTCGCTCTTCACCGACAGCCGAAACTTGCGCACGGTCTTGGAGCGCGCGTATTTGCAGCCATTATAGTACATGGACCAGCTGCAGCCAAAGCTGTACGAGGCGCCTGACGACTCCGGATCCAGTCCTGCAAGAAAAAGCACAAGTACATTAAGGACTTGCCTCACAAGAAGTAAGAGTGAGAGGGAGCACTCACCTTGGCAGGCACAGGTGCGATTCTCGTTGGTGGCGCAACGGCGCGTGGTGGGTAGTCCGTACTTATTGAGCTTGGGTATCAAATTCTTATAGGCATTGTCTGCCTCCAGGCGCGGCATGCCATCCCAGGCCACCATGCACACCACGATGTACGCGGCAATGCACCTGAATAGGTAAGCGAGAAGATACACTCAGTTTTCTAGGAGGATGTTGTGCTTCTTGACTTACCTGTGACCCGGACGTTTCTTCACAACAACAAGTATCTTCTCCTCGGGATCGGCACGCCTGATCACCCACTTGGCCACCGGGCAACCCTGCGAGGTTTTGCCTTCCTTGCCCGTGTAGACGATCTTCTCGATGCGCAACTGACGGCCCGTCAGCTGGCAACGATCCTCGAACTCGCGTCGCAGCTCCATCAGCGTGGATGCGGTGCCTAAAGGGACAACATTTGGGTCAGATGCGGCATTTTTAGGGATAGGTTCAAGGCTTGTGGACATGGCCTAGTCTATCTTTTGTATTGCTTACTCTTTAATAAGAATTCCGCCTTAACAGATGCCAAGCCCTACCTGAGGTCTTTACATCTTAAGCCCTTAGAGCATCGCAGCTCTATAAGCATGTATATGAGAGTATCAGAATTTCTAGGCGCGAATCCCTTGTGAACCGGGTAAGGCACTAATTTATAGCTCCATCAGTATGCATTTAATATGAGAGCTAGGCGAGGTTCGGTATTTCTAGGCGTGGATTTAAACCTTGTAGGCCAGGTACGGCATCAAAGAGTTTCCCTTCCCTTAATCTTCAAGTCCAAGTCTTTCAGTCTAAGTCCAACTACCAACCCGCCTTTCTTACAGTATAACCCCCGGAGAAGCTGTCGAAAAAACTCAGATGCGCTGTGAAACTCACCCAGATGCGTGTAGTAGGTGCCCGGTTCTGGTGGATTCTTGTCGGACTGAAAGCACTCGCATTCAGGTATTTCCGTCTTGTTGCCCTTTTCCAGGCGATCCGTCGTATCAAACATGGGATTGATTTTCTCGTGCTTGACAATTATTTCGGGTATCTCATCCTGTTTCTGCTTTTTGGACTTGGCCTTCACACCATTGTGCGCCTCGGCCAGCTCGTCCTCGTCCAGCAGCTCCTCCTTGGGCTGGATGCCCAAGCCCAGGCAGGTTCCGTCCTTGAGATGCTCCGCAGTGGGTGGCCTGGTGCCGCCCTGACGACAGCACGAGAAGCCGTTGTTTAGCGGCTTACCCTCACCTAGATAGGCATAGCCATGTCCGTGGCCATGTCCCAGCATGCCCATGTCCTCCAGCTTGGGCTCCAGCATGCCGTGGTGGCCGAGGTGCGGCGGCGGCGGTGCTCCGTGTCCGAGCGCATAGCGATGCGCCGGAATGGGATACGCGTGCGCCGGTATATCCTTCTCATAGTTTGTAGGCAGTGGTATGATGCTGTTGGTGTCCGGCTTGCGGTCCAGCTCCAGCATGCTGTTGCCGTGCCCATGGCCATGTGGCCCGTGGTGGGCGGCATTCGAGGGCGGCTTACCACGGCTGCCATAGGCCGCGGCCGCCTGATATCCGGGCACGAAGCTCTGCTGGAAGTTCTGCTGGAAGCTGCCGGCGCCGGCGCCATAATACGCCGAGTTGTGATGGTAGCCGGCATAGTCCTGCTGGTGCTGCTGCACCGGCTGACCCTGGCCATCGTTTTGGCAGAAGTCGGCATATTGAATGAAGTTCTGGTAGTTGCGCTCGTAGCCCTCCATTTTGTTTGGTTGCCCGCCCGGCGGTGGCGGCAACAGACCCGGCTCCGTCTTGATATATTGCCCGTGATAGTCCTGACCGCTGCCCGGCGGTGGCGGATAGTGTGCGCCCAAGGCCTTGAGTCCTCCGCCACCCGGATCGTTGGCATTGCGATCCCGTTCAATTTCGGCGGCGGCAGCCTCCGCGGCGGCTGCAGCGGCACGGCTCGCCTTGCTGCGACTTCGCGATTTCTTGGGCTGTGGCTGTACCGGCGGCTGAATGGGCATGGCAGGCTGTGGCGGCACCTCCGCATGGCTAATGGTTGTGTGTTGTCCTGGCTGGTGTTGCTGCAGTTGCAGCTGCAGCTGATGGTCCGTGCCGGCATAGCCGCTGCCCACGCTGGGCTTCTTAAACGAGTTGGCGTGGTGCGGCTTCCAGATTTGATCGCCACCACCTCCGATGGGCTCGGCAACGGCCAGCGGTGGTGCGACGCTGCTCGAGCCGTTGGCGCTCAGCGCCGTCTCGGGGCGGAGATGGTGGCTATACGATAAAAAATGACCGGTCTGCTGTTGTTGCTGCTGCTGCTGCTGTTGGGCGGCACCTGGGGCTGTTGTCTGGCCCTGCAGCTGAATGTCGGGCGGCGCATCCTTGGAATCGCTCTTGCGCATGATCATGGACTTGATGCGCGTGTTCAGATGCAAGCGTTCGCCCTGACCCTGCGCCGGGTAGCCATCGTTCGTCAGCTGCTGCTGCTGCTGCTGCTGTGCAGGCGGCGGCGGCTGTTGTTGCTGCTGCTGCTGTTGATTGCTCCAGTTCCAGTCCTGCATGGGCGGCGAGCCGAGATGTGGATGCGTCTGCTGCTGTGGCTGCACGCTGCTGCCATAGGGCTGCAGTCCGTTGCCATTCGGAGATGGCGGCACCTGGTTGGGCGACTGTGAGACGAGGCGTGGCTGCTGCTGTTGCTGTTGTTGCTGCTGCTGCTGCTGCTGGATGAGGCTGCGCGTGGGTGATGGAGGCACCGTCTGGGCCTGTGACTGCATAGGTGAGCTGGCTGGCTGGGCCACAACCGTGTTACCAGGGCCAGTCGCTGTGGGCGCGGTTGCGACGCTGGGCGCTGCAGTTGTCGTTTGTTGTTGTTGCTGTTGTGGTTGCTGTTGCTGTTGTGTCTGTTGTTGCTGTTGCTGAGAACCGCTGTAGTCGCCTGGATACCCGTTACAGTTGAGTGAGCGCGGCGGCACGCTGCTCACCCGCGGATATCCAGGCGTGTCGTTTCCCGACATGCTCTTGCTCAGATCCCCGCCAAGATGCTGTTGTTGCGGCTGCTGTTGCTGCTGCAGGCCAACGGCTGGTGGCGCCGGCGCCGTCGACACTTGCCCGGCATAGCTAACACCGCCAGGCGGAAAGCCGGCGGCCACGCTCTGCAGTCCCACCTGATTAATGGGCGCACTGGAGAGCTGCTGGCTCTGGAAGTCGTAGCGCTGCACGGGCGCCCCATATGGCGAACGGCCGTAGTTGGGATCGAAGCCGAGACCTGTCTGCACGTAGCCATTTGATGGATAGGCGTAGGACTGTGTCTGGAAATCCAAGGAGTTGAGTGATGTGATGGCTGGAGTATTCTGTGGTATTTGCTGTATGAACTGGTTCTGCCAGCCCTGCGATGGATCCGCCTGCCATGTCGGATAGAAGGCCATAGGTGCCTGCAAAACGAAAAACCAATCACATTAAGAAATATATATATAATAGAATCAATATTTATATATTTAGTTTGCATTTATGAACTAAGTGAGTGCTAAACGGAGCTTAGCGTTGTCTGATAAAGGCCCAGTCGGCTGCCATCAATTAGTTACGCATTTAGTTACAAACTATTAACTAAACTTAAGGCTTTTATTATATTAGAGCTCATAGTAACTATATAGTTACCAGCCCTGGGGCTGAACTACCCTTTACTTTGGCCAACTTTGGGTTTGCTTTACGAAATGGTTTTTCGGTTTTCCTGTTGCTGCCGGCCATAAATCAAATTAGCCGCACCCTAATTCGGCAACCTACTAATAGGGCCAGGCCCCAAAAACAAATAAGCACAACAAAATATGAAAAATAACAGCATGCCAAGTATTTATAGTCGACATTATGCACAACTTCCGCTTGTTGTTGATTAACGCGCCTTGAACTATGCTACACTTTTTTGACGGGCGTGTTTATTTGTATTTGACTTCGTTTTGCGTCTGGCAAACAAAATGCGTAACAGACCAAAATAAAAATCATTTGCGTTTTTATGAGCGATGAAAGTGAAATTTTCTATATGCAAACATGAGGCAACAGCAACAACAACAACAACGAACAACAATGGCAACTGCCTGCGCCAGACGCACAATAAAATCAAATATATATAAATTTGAATATAAATAATTTAAATAGTTGTGTGTACTTTTTATAGGCGAGTTTAATTGACTACTCCGTTCTGTTTGGGCTCCGACTGTGTTAGTTTTCATGTGCTGCTCTTGTTGTTTGTGTAGTAAAAATAGACTTTTATTTTGTACATATTTGTGTGTGGAAATGTGCACCTGCTGATGACAGCAGCTGCTATTGTTATTGTTGTTTGTTGTTGTTGCTGCTGCTGCTGCTGCTGCTGCTGCTATGTGGTCTGCGTTTTATTTTTGAAAGCATTTAGCAATCATTGATAAAAATCGAAAAATTGTTTATGAATGAACGCGTGTATATACGTATAGGTATGTGTGTGTTGGCCAGTTGTGTGCGGCTCTGCACAGCGTTCACTTGATTCGATTTGTGTGCACAGCTGCAGCTGATTGGGGCGTGTCACGTATACGCAACGTTGTCCGCACACAGTTTTAATTTCTGTTATTTATTGTTTGCTGTTGCTCTGTGGCATATTATTATTATTTTTTGCGTTCAGCGAATGGAAAACGAAATGAACTGATTGACTAGCCAAACTGTTTGTGAAGGTCAATGCTCGCCGTTGTTATTGTTCATGTTTTAATTGAAAAACATCAGAATTGTATGGAATTGATTGTTGTTTGTGTACTCACCATAGGTTGTTGCGGTTGATCCTTCATGGTTTGAATTTGTGCGGTTATTTGATGCTGCTGCTGATGCAAATGTTGCTGTTGTTGCTGCTGCTGTGCGTGCTGCTGCTGCTGCTGCTGATGATGTTGCGTTTGCTGCTGCTGCTGCAAATGTTGCTGTTGCTGGAAATGCTGCTGCGGCTGTTGCTGCTGCTGCTGATAGTGCTGCTGCTGTTGTTGCTGCTGCTGCTGCTGGTGTGTCAACAATTGCTGCTGCAGCTGTTGTTGCTGATACTGCTGCTGCTGCTGCAAACTGCCCGCTGCGGCAACTGTTGCTGTTGTAGTATTTGGCGATTGCTGCGGCAACAGTGTTGCTGCTGGCGTTGGACTTAGACGTGGCGATGCTGCTGATGCGGCTGCAATGGCACCAGCGGCTGCATTCAGTTTGTTTGCTTTGGTGGAGGTTTTACGGGCGCGTGACTAAAAAAGACAAGAGCAAAAAACAACAACAAAATTGTTAGTTAATGGCATTGATAAAAGTAAGTGTAACGCTTAGATAACTGCATATGAATATGCATGCATAAATTATGGGGCAATTCAGAGCAGTGGCTGTTGCTGTTGTTGGCCGCGCTTTAAAAATGATATGCAATTAATTTATGGGCTGGTGGGTGTCTCGGGCTTGACCTTCGTGACAACAGCTGCCTTATGGTATTTGCCTTTCGGTAATGCACTTTTTACAACCTAATTGCACAATTGCCCCGGAGCTGTTCTACTTGCTGTTGCGCCCCGCAATTAGTTGAATAGTTTTATTTCTTTAATTAAGGAAATTTGTTGTTAGACGCGCAAATATTTTAATTGCCACACATTCAGCATTCAGTATACAGCCCCGCGCCCGTCCGTTTTGTGGCAGCGCTTGTATAATTTATGCTTGCAGCGGACACATAATTTCGACTTGTTTTTGAGTCTGCACGCCGGCAACATGTAAAATTTATGTGGCCAGCGATTTATGTGCAATTTATTTGTGCAGCCAAATACATAAAAAAAAGAGCAAAAATTCAGCTTCAAAACAACAACAACCACGATGACGACGACGACGACGGCAACAGCTGCGGTTGCCATTTATTGTTGTTGCTGCTGCTGCTGCTGCTGGTTGCAGTTGCAAGTTGCAAGTTGAACTAAAATATGTTGCGCGCACCATTAAAGGCTCTGGAAATTTATGTTTATAAAAGACTCTTGTCGTTTGTGCACCGAAAGAGCTGGCCCGCAGTTAGTTGTATTTTATTTTATATATATATTATTTTTTTGCATCTTTTTATACAGATTTCTAACTTTAACAAAATATTATATCATATAAGGCATAAATATAATTTCGAATTGGTAAAAACCCTAATAATATAAATATTAATAGCACATTATCAATGTATTACGTTAAAGTTTATACTGATTAGCAATTATTCTTTGTCTAGTTGCCATTTCATTGATAAGTCGAATCAAGCTGTTTAAATTATCAGAGCCCGTTTTCTATATGTACGTATTATATATAGAACATTTGATACGATTATAATTATAGTGATTTCTCAATCGTTTAATGTTTTAATAAAGGCCTTTTAATTAGCCGGCCCTAATTACTGCTCCAATTAGAAGCTCTAGTTAACTCTTGACTTTGTCGCTGGCCTTTAAACTTTTCACAATGCAAACATTGTACACAACTTTGGAGCTGGCCAATTAGAGAGGCTTATTTCTAGAATTTTTCCAGACAATAAATACATTTTGCACACACATGAAATTTGCATAAAACGACAAACCAAATCGTTTGTGCAAATTGCTAGCAAAAATATGATTTATATTTTACACATGTGTAAAATATTTTCCAGCTCAGATGTGTGTGTGTGTGTGTGTGTGTGCGCTTGGACTTGGCCAGCATAATGCAATGCAAATACGACAACGCCAACAACATGGAGCAGCAGTCTAATTGGAATTCAAATGCCTCTTCTGGCTCTGCTGGCCCCAGCTGGTGACAAAGCAACAAAATAACTTAAGCAAACAGAGTTTGGAGCCATTTATGTGTATTTGCAAAAGTTTCAAGGGGGAGGGAATGAAGTGGAGGGTCTGGCAGGTTTGTGGGGCAGGCTTTGTGAATGCTTTCTAAAAATATTTGCAATGCAAACAATGTGCTTGTCGCAGGTGCCAAAAAAAAAAAAAACAAGAAATATAATAAAATTAAAATAAATTTGCACGCAATTTGAAAATCGAAAAATTGGCAATTATTTGTATGCAGATTTTCTTATGATTATATATGTACGTAAAGTAAATACACGTAGATGTAGACGATTGGCTGTGCATATAAGGCTTTAATTAAGTTTCTTGCATGTTGCACAGTGTTTGCTTAGGCCATGGCAAACAGCAAAGGCAACAACAACAACAATTGCAATGACAACAACAGGCAATAGTTAAATAAAAACGGCATAGGCTATTGTAAAGTTATAAAACACAATATGGAAAACCTAAATATTATTGAGGGAAACAATAAATACTCTAACAAGATAGTCATACAAGAGATTGATTAACATTTTGCAAAAAATATTTTTAAATTTGTATAATATAATATAAAGGTCTAAGATATAAAAAACATCAAGTGACAAAATATGTAACTCTTGATGTATCAAATATTAAATGCCCTAGTATATATATTATACTTTGTATAATCTGAAGATTGGAGTATGTGAAGTTTTGGTCAAAATATGTGAAAATTTAAGTAGATATAAAAATCACGCTCATTCAATCCTATTTTCCCCCAACATCATCTGTGCTGAGGAAAACTTCCGAAGAATCTTCAAGAACAACTTGCAATACATTTTGTTAGGGCATGCGAGTTGGCGGCATTTCGAGCTGCATTTTCCCACTATTTACACAGTTCATAAAAGTTAATTAAATGTTTATGAGCGTCGCTCGTTTGCAATGCGACGACTTTGCTGCTTTTTATATCTTTTCTGTCGACAATTGTTGTTGTTGTTTTTGCTTTACTTTTTGTTCATACTATGTCAATGAAGTTTTTATTTATTTCTTGGTAATGTAAACAAATGTAAGGCAAAGCGGCGAACAGATAGAACCAGATAGAGATTAGTCTGCACCTTATCTCTGAGTGCAACAGCTGCAGCAGCAACAACAAAAGCTGCAACATGCAACGAACTAAACGCGGTGGCCTTCGTCTCAAACAGAGACAGAGACAAAAACAAAACCCAACTCCTCCTGCTCGTCATTAGATTTTACTGAAAATGCGTTGAAAAGAAAATTGCGCGCTGAGTAAACAGCAATTAGTTGTGTGTGTGTATGCGAGTGTGTGTGTGAGTGTGTTTATGTGTTTGTAAATAAGTTTATTACTATTTACATTGAATTGCGCGCCGTGCTGATAAGCAAGAAGGAGAGAAATAACAAAATAAAAGGTAAATTAAAGTATTTTTAGTTCGGCTCGAACGACGCAGCCGATGCGCTACAATGCATACGACTGAGCAGGCTAATGGCTTATAGATATGCATACTGCACTCGTGTCTGTAAGTGTGTATGTGTGTGTGTGTAAGTGTTGTGCGTGCAAGTCGGATATGTGAAACAGCTATATAGTTGCAAGAAGGAGGCGTCTGTGGGAAGGTCCATATATGTAACATGAAGCTTAAACGAGAATAAGGACTGTATAATCTGCAGAGCCAAAAGGATCAACCTTTTACGATTTGGGCTGTGGAGTTTAATGAAGAGCTTAAGAATAAGTTAGAGGCATGGCCCATTCTTGCATCTGTCAAGAAATCGGTATAACCAAGGTCCAAATCATAGCTGGATTCCTGATTTGATTGGCTCGATTCGAACTAGCGAGAATATGTTTTAGGTTGATTTTTCTCCAAGGTCTACTTTTAGCTATACTTATTTGAGCATTTGAGTAGTTGACTCAACTAGAAAATTCTTGGGCATTTGCCTAGTTACTAAACCTAACATTGGCCACTCTTTCGCTTTGCCCTGTTCTGGCTGTCTGTCTTTCTCTGACATTGATAAGCGCGAGGACGGAGCGCAATAATAACACCTCTAGCTGTTGTGTGTGTGTGTGTTGTGTACCCTGTCATAAATTACACACATAACAGGGTATGCCATATAAATTATTTACATGTCCCCGACGTCAAAGTCTGCTGATAAGTCGAGGGAAAAAGGCGAACGCAACAACAACAACAAAATAAATAAATAAATACAATACAAAAAAAAAGAAACAAGGTGAAAAGCAGCGAAAAATAAATGCAGCAAAATGTAAATAAAATATAAATAAATCAAATATTAGTTATCATGTTTTCTTTGCCGTTGTGTGTGTTTATTTTCCTCTTTATCAACGTTTGTCAGTACAGTAAACATTATAGCCAAGAAATATCGAGAAATAACGCTTAACAAATGTAGAACAAGGGTTAAATTCGGCCCTCACGAATGAAACTCATTCCATAAATGTATATTTTGGACTTTTATTGGAATAGGTTAGCCTTCTCTTATATTGATCAGGAAATAACGTTCAACTCTTTGAAATCGGTTCGATACATATTTTTAGAGGTAGATACATAAGTTAGAAAAACAACTTGGATATAAGATGCTTTTCACTATGCCAAATCTTATGATTTAATTTGAAATTCCTTCTATGAAGTTCTGTTCCAGGATGAACGATATTAGTCCCATGATGATACAACAGGATCGACACCAAGTGTAAGCTGCTTTGTAGTAAGGAGTTGCGATTAAAATAGCAGCAAATTTATATGCTTTAGTTGGCACATCCCAGTAAATGCTTGGGCAGCAAAATGTTGCATTTAGCAGACACAGAAATGTACACGTTCCGATTTGCTTTAATGGTGTATGCAATTTCCATGATTGGCAGGACCTCCTTCTTTGCCAATGCTTGACTGCAGGCTTCGTCTCTCGACCGGAGGCAGCTCAAATATTTAACTTGTATTTCGTATTCATGCTAATTTTGCATTTTCCACAATTTTCTCACCCACAATGCGAGGCAAAAGCAGCCAGCGTCGCCGCCTTGGCCACGTTTGCATAAAATGCTATGCACGTTATTATTTTGCAGGCACTGTGTGAGGCATTCACAGCTCCTGTTCGCTTCAATTTCTTGTGGATGGACACAGTGCGGCTGGCTGGCTGGCTGGCTGGCTGGTTGGCTATCAGCTCACACACACACATACACACACAGATACATAATTTACCACTGTGTGTGTGAGTGGGGAGGGTGTGGGGTGTGTGCATGTAATTGTACGTGCAGAGTGTGCGCCGTTGTTCGGGCTACAGTTTCCTTTTTATCCTTTGCTCTGCTTTACTCAGCTTGTTAGCATGTGTTGACGTTTATGTGAGCCTGCCTGCGTGTGTGTGTGTGTATTTTTATTCAATTTAGCTTTCAATTAGGCTGCAATTGTTCGTTTGTTCGCTGCGCTGCCTTGCATTCTTAAACAGTTCTG